AAAAGTTCAATCAATCAATTTCAACTTCTCGCGGAATCGATTGATTGAACTTTTTAGTCCCGCCCAGTCTGCCGTTACCACCACAGCCACACCCACCCAATGGCCCACACCCACCCAATGGGCCACGCCCACCCGGCACCCGATGATACATAAGTGGGCTTTGGGTTGCGGTTTGGGCACTCGGTCTCTCAAAGGTTCGCCATCACTGCTATATATAGAAGAAACAGCTGTCTGTGTTACAGAATTTTCAGAATACCAAAGTTGGAAGGGACCTTGGAGGTCATCTTGCCCCACCCCCTGCTAGAGTGTTGAGCGGGAATCATAGAATCCTAGGCCCGGAAGGGACCTTGGAAGTCTTCTAGTGCCAGGGCTTTTCAACCTTTTCACCTGTTGTACCACTTTTAGGATACGGCAACATCCGAGTACCACCAAGTCGCCTAGCAAGGTGTCAAAAACCTGATGACCCCCCCAAAAAAAGAAGGAAAAAAGTGATAAAAGTACAGGTAGTCCTCGACTTACAACAGTTCGCTTAGTGACTGTTTCAAGTTACAATGGCACTGAAAAAAGGGCCCCCCAAGCCACAGCCGAGCAAGACGCCTGCCTGCCCGCCCGGCCGCGCTCTTCCTCCTGTCCGAGGTTTCCATTGTTGTGAGCATTTCTGTTGGGGATTGGCAGCGAGGGTGGGGTGGGGGGTGTTTGGTTTTTATTCCCCCCGTCTGCTGGGTGGTTGCAGCAGGTTTTGGTCCCTTCCCATGACCCTGGGACACTGTGACCGTCATAAATATGAATCAGTTGCCAAGCATCTGAATGTAAATCACAAGACCCTGGAGAGGCTGCAACATTCCAGCTGATCGGCGCTTCTTCTGGGCTCAGCAGAAGCACCAGGATCAGTGCCGAGCTCCAGCTGGAACCTGGCGCTGATCCTGGCGCTTCCGCTGAGCCCTGACAGCCCCGAAGAAGCGCCGATCAGCTGGAAAGTGGCACTGATCCTGGTGCTTCCGCTGAGCCCTGACAGCCCTGCAGCTCCAGCCGTCTCTCGCTCAGGCTTGTGCGGTGCTGCCACCGGTTCAGCCATTCCCCTCCCCTGCTACCACTTTTCAAAAATGGTCGCGTATCACCTGCCAGGTGCCCATGTACCACAGGTGGTACCCGTACCACTGGTTGAAAAGCCTTGAACTAGTCCAGCCCCCAGCCCCGGGAGCCTTCATAGCACCCCAGACCTATTAAAAATGCTCTTTTCGCGACCGGAGACGGGAATCCGCTGCAAATCAAGAGAGGGACTTGCCTCGGGAGGCAATTAACAGTGGTATATTGATATATTCTAGGGCTTTTTCCTAAGAAATTGCGGTTAAATCGTTCATTTACATGTGCTTACATTGAAAAAAAACAAACAAACAAACAAACAGTGCAGCCAGGTGCTTGGTACAACAGGACATCATCACAGGACATACAATGAAGACCAGGAAGGAAGGAAGGAAGGAAGAATAAAATGGAAATGAAGGAGGGGAAGGGAAGACCGAGGAAAACACGAGACAGGAGAGACAAAGATAAATACACAGCGGACAGAACCTGGCCAGACAGATTCGGATGCCCAACTTGGAGGGTTTTTGTCCGAGCAGTCTTTATTTACAGATAATTGCGCCCCCCCCCCCACCCACCCCTTTGCCGCTGGG